AGGAAGAAGAAAGTGTGAACTACTACTATTCATTCATCATGCATTTCATTCACTCATTCAACAAATATATATCGATTGCTTATTGTGTGCCAATAAAAAGTTTCTGCCTTTATGAACCTTATATTCCACTGAAGGATAGTTAAACAGATGATCAGTTGATTAGCCAATAAATACGGCGTGTCGGGTGTCGGTGAGTGTCATGAGGAAAAGTAAAGCAAAGTGAGGGGATGGAGAAGAGAGAGGGGACACTCTTCTAGGTGGGTTCAGAGGAAAGGCCTCTCCTGAGAAGAGGACATTTGAGCAGAGTCATGAGGCCATGAGCCATGTGGATATCTGGGGGAGAGCATCTTGGGGAGAGAAAACTGCAAGTGCGGAGACCCTTGATATATGCAAGGAGCGGCATGCAGGAGGCCAGTGGGGCTGGAGCAGCGTGAGTGAGGAGGGGAGTGACAGGAGATGAAGCTGGAAGCCAGACTCTTAGGGCCTCATAGGCTAAGATAGGTGTTTGGATTTTATTCTGAGTGACATGGGAAGCCATTAGAGAATTTTGAAGAGGGAATCATCTTTTTCAAGGGTCCCTGGCTGCTGTATAGACAGACACAAGGCCGTAAGGAGAAAATAGGAAGCTACTGCCGTAGCCCAGGGAAGACATGATGGTGGCCAAGTCTGGGGTGTTAGCTGAGAAGTAGACAGGTTCTGGATATTGTGCTTGAATGTACCTGTCTCTGTCCCTGTACAGACACAGTGCATGAGGACACAAAAATTTAGCACGTTTTTGTGGTGAGGCTCTGGGGAAACAGACACACTTATATGTTGATAATGGGAAGGCAAGCTGGTACAACCCATTTGGAAGAGAATTTGGCAGTATCTAACACAACTACATATGCACTTATCTTCTGATCCAGCAATCCTGCTAGGAATTTACTGTGAATATACAACTCTAACGATGTAACAATGATGATAATGCACAAGATCATTTATTGCACACTGTGTGCAATTGCAAAATATTAGAAACAGCCTAAATGCCTTTACATAGAACAGTGGTTGAAAAAATGAATGGTACATCAATTCAGTGGAATACTATGCAACTGTGAAAAAAGAATGAGGAAGATTTCCATGAACTGACATGGAGAGATTCCCAGGATATGCTCTTA